CAAATTTTTCAGGCGGAAATTTCCGGAGGTCATGTGATATTTCCGTAAATCGACGCCTAATTAAATTTCCTGATGATGACGATTAGAGATAACAATTCAGGTATTTTGGACGAAGATACAATACGAGATATAGACATTTTTACTAATGATTTGTGCCCAGTTTCAGCACAGACTATAGTTTGTATATTTCGAAAAGCAATTCGATCCACCCAAGATACAATTTTATACTGGTATCACTTTGCCATAAAATATGACAAAAGAATAGATGAAGTTTCTGTTAACAATAAAGTCAGTAAGAAAAAAGCAACTAGCTTAGTATATCATGAAATTAAACAACTTCTTCCTGATATCACAGATGCGAACCTGCGTCATATAATTCTCAAGGCTAGAAAAATAAGAACACTTTTTAGCGCAGTAGGAGTAGAAAAGATTAAACAGGTCTCCTATAGTGCAAATGCAATTTCCGGCCTTTCTTATACCCAAATCCACAACATTATAGAGCATGTGACCAATTTTAAAAAGAGTTCTGTCCCTTCTGGCTTAACGAAATTATCAGATGCAAAGGTAAGTGAATCACCTACATCTCCTATTCTTTCGACTCATATATCTAATTCTTCAGGTCCAGAGGGTTTGTTACGAACCGAGATAAGTAAATCTCAACCGAAGAAATCCTTACAAACTGAGATAAGTGTCGAGACCTCATCTAATTTCATAGCTCATATTACTAATTCGGATTTCTCTGATGATGAGGACGAAATAAAATCTGATGAGACTAATGAGGATATCTCTGATGATGATTCTGACGATGATGAGACAAATGATAATAGCGTAACATATTCTGATGATGAGGCAGGATATTATTACAATCTAGATGGTGGAGAAAAAATTTATAGAGAACTTGTAGAATGTTTTGCATGATTTAACTGATATTTTAACATTTGCTATTGTATTTAACGAGGAATTTGTAATACCATATATAACCGATAATAAAAAAATTTTTTTCCGAAATGATATACAAATGTTTAGAAGATTAAGATCACTTATCACCCAAAGCGATTAGTGATATTATTATTTCTAAGGATAAAATAAATGCATTACCGAATCTAGCTAAAAAATATGTGTCAATGACACTAGCAACAAAATAAAACCCAGAATTCGTACAAATTGCAACTTTATTGATATATATTTTTGCATTATTGCATTATTGCAAGTAAAGCGAATGTATAATTATTATAAGAGTTGATCGTTGGTTGAATTTGATATATGGTATAATTACGTTAGCATTGCAAAGAGAACTAGAAATAAAAAATAACTCTTCAGGGTCTATTTTATTAATGCTTCAGAAAGCTTGGCTATCTAAAGAGG